TCCAAGGCCTCAGGTCCAAAGCAGTGTTCTCCAGGGGTCAGTGCCTGACAGCACAGAAAGCTCAAAATCCCCAGGTTTCTGGGATCCAGCAGGAAATGACTCGGGGTTCCTGCTCCGGGCACACACAAAGGCAGGAAACAGAAGGACTATCTCGATCTCGACTGGGAACTGCTCCTTCAGGCCTTAGAAAGGCAGCCCCAGGAGTGGATAAACTGTTCCCAGCAAACAAGTTACTCAGCCCTTTGTTCTGGGCCTGGGCCTGAGGTCACATTACCTTTCATAATGGTTGCCTTTGGCCTTAAAACCCTCGGGCTATTCATAAACAGGGCTTTCTGTGCCACTGCTCTGCAGAGCCTTCACTGCCTGCTCAGCACAGTGTGCTTCACCCCTGCACTGCTCACTCTTTGCCATGGAGATTGTTTTGGATACCTCCACCTCTCTTTCCAGTGGGTCATCTGAGTTACATAGGATAATTTGTTCCCCAGATGACTCCTAGTTTTACTCAGTGTAGTTGTGCAAGTGGTTAAGGGTAAATTAAGAGCCTTAGGAGGATGTTTCCTTACAGGCATCCCATGTTGCTCAAGCAGGATTTGCTTCAGACCTTACTCCCTAAAATCAGGGATTATTTACTGCAGATAATGTGCTAAGGACAGTTACACTGAGACTTTCAGAGATATTTTGTGTCTTTCTTCCTGTAACCCACAGCAGGCAGTGAAAAATTAATCTGTACTGCAAATCTGAGACCAGCACTTAAGTGCCCTATAAAACTCTTCTTAGGGAATGCTGGCTTTGGGTCAGAACATCCAGGATGGTGATTTTGTCCCGACAGAGGTGATGTTGCACCATGTTCCTCACTTTCCTGTAAGGATTTTGGCAAAAGCCCTTGTGAGGTCACAGCTATTGAGTTCAGTGGCTCTCACAGGTCCCCCCAAGGGTGCAGGGACAGCAGTGGAGGCTGGAGCACCAGCTCCAAAGGAAAATTCAGCTCTTTAATAAGGGGGGTCTGAAAAGTAAAATGAACTCACCTGGATTGGCAAGACGGCTGCTGGTGGGCCCCAGGATTTGGTAGGGATCTAAAAAATAAAATAAAGTAAAATAAAAAAATCACCCAACAAAATTTAAAGGATGTTTAATCAGAAAGAAACTCCAGGTCATTATGTTTTTTTCTAGAAACCAAATTTTCATTTTCTTTCTTTACTCTTTCTGCCCCTTTTCCCAGGGCCTGCAAGTGCTCCTTCTTTCTTTCTTTCTTAGCAAACAACCACCAAGTATTTCTGGAATCCAAAATGGCACAGCCACAGTTCCTGGCACTGCTCTCAGAGCTGCCTGCTTTTGCAGTCTGGGATGTCCTTGCACTGTGTGGCAACCAGAAAACAGCAAACGTGGAAAAAAACCCCTGTGGGATGGGAGAACAGCCACAACGCAGGAGCAAATGTATTTCTCCTAACAAGAAAGAGCTAAATGAAAGGAGAGCAGATGAGATTTTCAGATTCACTTGTTAGCAGCTGAGCTTGCTGCCCTGGGAAAGCAGGAAATATTCACCCAAGTCTCTCTCTGTGAAGCAAACACAGCATTAGAGAGATGAGAGTAACAGGAGTTTGTCACTGGCTCCACCAAGGCTGAGTGGTTCTTGAAAACCCCACAAAGCATTTATTAGGAATGAATTCCTTCCCTTTCTGTGGGGCCTCCTCAGCCCTAATCTCCACACTTTTCCTCTGTCTCTCTCTGCTTGTGGTGATTTGGATCTGCAGCGTTTGCTCGTGAATTGACTCGGTGCCAAGAGAACCAGAGGAAGGGGATGGAGAGCAGCTGTGGTGGGCAGGGAAGGTGGGAAGGCAGCAGGAGCACCCCCGGCCCTGCCCTGCCCTGCCCTGCCCTGGGGCTGCTTCCCTCCTCTGCTCTGCTCTGCTCTGGGTCGGGGAAGCCCTGCTGGGATGGCTGGAGATGCTTCCAGAGGGAAGGGAAAGGTGGGATGCTCCAAGGGGACACTGCAGATCCTGGCACTGGGATGTTCCTTTGGCTGGGCAGGGCAGAGCAGCCACACTGAGCCCTTTGGGAAGGGCTGCTGGCACAGCTCAGCCTCTGCCCTGAGCCTGTCCCTGCCTGGGGCTGCTCCACAGTGAATTCCCCCAGTCCAGGGTTCCCAAAATCCACTCTCACCTGGCTGGGGCCGCTGCTGCTCCGTTGTCTTATTCACGTTTTGTGTCCCTGCCACAGGAGGGCCTGGAAAGAGAGAAGGGGTTTATGGGCACAGAGAACAGGTACAAAGTACAAAATACAAAATATGTCCCACACGAATCACAGCAACTGCAAGGGAAAGGTTTGCTCAGACTAAGAGCTGGTATTTTGGGGATTGCACCATAAAATTAAGAGATTCCATAGAAATTTAAATTTTCAGTGCAAAATGAAAATACACCAATAAGGAAAGCATTATACAGATATTTACAATTTGCCAAATAGGCAGTGAGACAAGGAAAATATTATGTAGATACTTCATTAATTTTCTGTCTTTTATTGCAACTGAACTTCCACTCTAGTTTGCATCCATGTTGTGAACAAAAAATTGGGTTATATATGTACAAATTCCGACCTCCTTCCATGTTGGAGCTTTTCCCACATTTTGTGCAAATGCAAATTCTTTTTTAGGCAAAAAAAATCAGTTGAAAATATCATGGTGATTTGTATAAGTCCCTCCAGCAGGAATATCTGCTCCTCCTCTTGCTATCATTTCTCACAACAGAAAACTGTGACTCCAAGCAAAATTCTCACACTGGGGTGAACACAGCTCAGGAAGCTGCAGAGCAAGGGGAAGGGGCTCTGCCAGGTGCTGCCCCGTGGATTTCCAGCAGGAGTGCCTTGCTGAGGGTCAGATGTGCCCACCCTGCACAGGGAGCAGCCCCAGCAGTGGGGTAGGGGACAGTGGCTCAGAGCCAGCAGCCTGTGCCAGCTCCAGCAGGGACTTTAGGGACACAGAATTGGTCTGGGATGTGACCCCCCTGCTGGGAATCCAAGCACTCCAAACCCAGTAAGAACAAGAGCTGGGCACCTCGAGCAGAGGGGCCCCATCTGCTGGACTTGGCCTTTCTGGGAAGTTGGCAAAAACTCTCAGATCTGTTCCTAAAACCATCCCAGCATGGGGCAGGCCTCTGTTAACAGGGTGCCTGTGAGAGGATTTGCTCCTGGCCCCTTAACCAAACCCTACAAGTGTTACTCTATCCATGACATCATTCTACTTCTCATCTGTCCCCAATTCTACCTCTTATCTGTCCCCAAATCTTGTGCCCTTCTGACACTCCTAACACAAGCCAGCTGTGCCCAAGTCTAATTTTAATCGTCCATTGCACAGTTTGTGATTCCCATTGGGACAACTTACTTTTGGAGAGGCCAGAATTCCCATTACTGCCCCATCCTGTTCTCCTGACTGCATCATAGGAGGGATCTAATGACAAAAGACAACAGGCACAGAGGGGTTGAAATGAACTTCTACAAAAAAACTTTGTAAGAATCTGACTTTGCTCTGTGGTCCCAGCTAGCTTGGCTTCTGTAGGGCTGTGCTTTTTACTCTCCCACATCTCCAGTGCTCCCCTAGCCCCTCACAGAATATAAATAGGGGTGTAAATGCAGCAATGGGGCTCTTTGGGCAATTGTCAAGCCTGACATGTTCTGACCATGAAGTGCTATCATTGCACTCAGTGGAATTCAGTGTGACCCTTCCTACCCAAAAGGAGAAAGGAGACTCCTTTCTCTTAGCCCAAGATTCAGAGGAGGCAGAGGAGGAGGAGGAGATGAACCCTGTTATTAGTTCACAGAAATTAAATGAGGGTTTTAAATTTGGAGAGGCTGAGGATTGGAGGTCACAATAAGCAGGGGGTTTCAAGGAGAGGAAAAGGAGGAAAAGCATCCTCCAGGGACATGCCAAGTGCCCCTCTGGCCAGCACCTCCTGCCTGTGGGGCTGTGCAGCTCCCTGAGGATCCATCCCAGGCTCTGGCACATTCCTCCAGCGCTGGGAAAGCCGCTGAGGCTTTGAAATTACAGCCTTGCAGTTACTGGCATGGAAAGGAAAACACAGAGGGACGGGAGAGGGGAGGGTGGGGGAGCCAGAGAAGGAGGGAACAGAGGGGAATGGGGGAAAATAGAGCTCCTGTAATCTGCCTGTTTTTATTTTTATTTTATTTGTTTGCTTTTTTCCCTTTTTGCAGAAACCACAAAGCCCACTGCAAATAGATCAGACTGGAAAACAAACCACTGTGGTTTCAGCTGGGACAAAGAGTGGGATGGGACAGCTGGGGAAGAGGGAGGTGACAGCCCCACCCCTGCTGTCCCAGCAGGGACACCTGCCCCATTCCAGACCCTGCCTCACTCCCAAGGACGAGGAGCAGGAGCACTGGGCACTGCCTTGGTGCTGTTGGACCTTTCCCCAGGCCCAGTGTCCAGCAGCTGTCCCTGCTCTGAACGAGCTCCTGTTCACAGAGGGGCATTTCCTGACTGGAAAACCATCCTTTAATCCCAATTTATCCCAGTGAGACACAGCTCTCCCCAAATCAGGAGAGCAGTGATGGGGTCTGAGGCAGTCCCTGCCTTTTCCCATGTCCTCCCTGCAGCCAGGCTCTGACTTCCATTGCTCCCCTGGGATATCCCTCTGAATCAGAACAACCAGAGCTAGCAGAGCCATGTTTGGGGAAACGCTTTGAAAAACCCAAGTTCTGCACTGAGAAAAGTAAAACCTTCAGCAGTGTCCACCAATTGAGATGTTAATGTGCATTTTGGTTTGTTCAATCAATAAACAGTTCTTTAATGTACCATTAATGGAAATGCCATATGATGACTGTTAAAAGAAAGGCAGCAATTCTTTTTCCAACAGAAACATTCTTTTCAAAATAGGGAAAAATTTTCTTCCTAGAAAGTAGCAGAACTCACTGACAATTTTCAATTTTCTCTGATTCTTTTTGAGGCCAGATCATTGACTCAAGGAAATTAAATGCTGCAAAGGGGTTGCTTGATCCAGAGTCATCAGCGTGTTTTGAGTAAATAAATATGCCATGATTTGGAGAGATGATCTTCCTCCTCCTGCTCCTCTTCCTCCTCATATTTAATCCAGGCTGACTGAGTCCCTTTGCCTCAGATTTTCCCCTATAAATATGGATTATGGAGCAAAGTGTAGGAATATATAGGGGCAGCCTTGTATTGTGGGATGAGATTCAGCCCTGAGTGTGACTTTGCCACAATAAGAAGGGTTAAATATGATAATCAGCCATACAGGCCCTGCTATTGAAACACTGTGTGCACTCAGCTACTGCAAGTTTCCAACTCTTTCTTTCCTCTTAAAAAAAAAATTAAAAGAAAAAATCCAAATGCAGGAAGCTATTTTTATTTCACAAAAATCTCTGCAACGTGAAAGAACCACACCAGGCCTCCTGGCTTCCAGGGCCAGGCTCAAAAGCTGAATGTGTTTAAAGCAAAATGGAAAAGGCAGAGCCAGGGAACCCATCCAGAGATTCAGGTTCCTGCAAAAACAAGATCATTCCCAGGACCTGACACCCAGTGGCTCAAGGAGATCCTACAGAACTCCAGCCAGACAGTGACAGGGAGAGTCTTATCTGTCATTTAAACCATTTGGATTTTGCACCGAAACTTGCCATGGGATGGAAATTCAATTAAAAGACTTGGACTGGGGTTCTCTCCTGGTGTAAATCAGCAAATGGCTACAGTGGAATGGGGGCACATTTATCCCAGAAAGGATCAGGTCCCCATGTCTGGTTTAGACTTAAAAGGCCCTGTGGAACAAGAGCCCTATGACAAATGTGTGTTCAATACAAAATGGAATTAAAGAGCAGAAAATAAATCATAGATGCTTTCAAGAACTGTCATTCTGCAGCTGTCTGGTTTATGTCCAGAAATTCCCCAGCATGAATGCTCAGTCTATTAGGAGGAAGGTAAAGGATATTAATAATGCTTTGCACTTTCACAGCACCTTTCAACCGAGGATCTCACAGCTTTGCAAACATTCGCACTCACAGCACGCCTGGGAAGGAGGTTAAATAGAATTGTATTTATTTGCAGGAATAACTGCACTTTCTGCAGCTTCAGCTGCCTTTTCCAAATGTACTGCCTTTCCCAGACATCAGGCTGTGTGGGGCAGGCTGCAGCACTGCTCTCTGTGCCTGGGCTCCACTTTGTCCCCCCAAATCTCCCTCCCCTTCTTCCTTGCCACTCTCTGTGCCCAACTCCCCAGACAGCCCCTATCCCCCCTGGAGTTCTGGGGCATATTTAGTCTGAACAGACTGATAGATATTGCTGGGGGCAGATGGACAGACACACAGACTCCTTTCCCAGGAAACCAGCCTGAAAATCCCCAGGTGGATTCCCACACCACGATCCCAAATCCTTGTCGGTCCTTTCAGCCTGAGTGCAGCCCAGTGAGCAAGGCTTTAGGGAGTCTGGGTTTGAGATATGATGTATAAGGGAGCAAACCCTCTCTGATAACCTTCAAAAAAAACCCCAAAAAACCCTGGTGTTTTATAAATCTGAGAGTTTGGGACTGAGGAGAGGCAAGGAGGGTTTTCACTGAACAATGGGCTCACAGTGCCTGTGCTTCCTGAGCTGCTGGGAAGTGCTGACAGCCCCTTCATCCTGCTCCCTCCAGAGCACCTTTCTCAGTCAGGCACCACTTTGTGCTACCAGGCCTGCTGAGGCTTTCCAGGACAACAGTGAGCTTTGGGCCTGGAATATCCACATTTTTAAGGCCTTTATTTTTCTAGGATAGATACATTGGGGCTGGGTCATTTGTAGACGCTATAGGGGAATCTTATTTAGAATGCCACACATGCTGCCACTACAGGCAAGTCTGGGAAGGAATGGAGAGCCCAGGAATGTCTGGAGCTGGTACCTCCAAGGAAATTTGGCAGCTAGAGGGTGGGAAGGGGCTTGTCCTAAGCCATGGAGACAGAGCCAGGAAGGGAGACAGGGGGAAGGCAGACCCAGGTGTCCTGGGGGATCCAGACTTGTGAGGTGGCTAAGTGGTCCCTGGGCCTGTATTTTGTGACAACCACTTTATAGGGAGAGAGGGGAAGGAGGGTCAGGTACCTGGGGAATTCTGTGGATCTCACAGACTGCTTCAGATTTGCAACCTTCTCCTGATTTGCTTCACTGAAATCTCTAAAGCCAAGTCCTGCCTGGAAATGCCTGTGCTCCCAATCTAGGTGATTCAGGTCATTCCAGAACAGCTCCTCCCGCATTCCAGGTTTGGCCCATGGATTCTCCAAGCAGAACACAGGCTAGGTTTTGCAAGGAGTCCTCCTGCTTCAGAAGGAGGAAAGGAGCCTGGTGTGGTGGCTGGAATTTAAATTAGCTTCACTAAATGGGGAAAGCAGACACAGGTGTCCTGGAGGCTGCAGACCTGTGATTAATCCCAGTGGTCCCTTGAGGTCTATTTGGCAGCAGTGATGGGGAGAGAGGGAAAGAAGGGCACAGGAGCCCAGGGCCTTTCCTGCCCAAGTGAGGCTGGGAGTGGCGGCACTGCCCCTGTGCCTTGGAAAAGTCCCAACATGGAAACAAACCCCAAACCCCTCTCCTGCTGCAATCCCAGCACATCAGCCAGGTCTGCCCAGGTCTGTGTGTCCAGCCCTGCCTATGCCCCTCTCCCCTCCTGGAGATCCCATCCAGGAGCTGGGGTGCTGCTCAAAGCCAGCTGGAGAGCAAAACCCAGACTGCAGCTTTGTGCAGGGACCAGGGAGCCAAAACCACCTCCAGCTCCTCCTAGAAACAGCCCATGGACCGGGTTAAATGGTGGCAGCAAACATTAAAGCTGTGTCCCTGCCTGGCTCCATGGACACGTTCTGAGTGCACCACATACACAGGAAAATTCTGACTGTTACACACACACAGGAAAATGCTGACTGTTACACAAACACACACAGAGGACATTTCTGACTGTTACACACACGCACAGAGAATATTTCTGACTCGTACACACACACACACACACACGACACCTCCTGCACACACACAGGACATTTCTGATGTTGCACACACAGAGGACATTTCTGACTGTTACACACAGGATATTTCTGACTGTTACACACACAGAGGACATTTGTGACTGCCTCACACCCAGTGCAAACCTCCCAGGGTCAGCAGAGGAGCTCCAGCTGCTCTCAGCACAAAGCTGTGAAGGCTCTGGGCTCTCAGCTGTCTGTAGGTGTGGGCAGGGTGGGACAGGGACTAGAGCAGGGTCTGAGGATTCCTGTGGCCTTTTCCAATGGCTCTGCCAACTTCCCATCACATTTACCCAGGTCCAGGGACATGTGTGTCACAACTGAGCACACTGAGGACTCAGAACCTCTCAGCATCACTCCTGTGAGGAGCTGTTTTCAACTTACTTATATCTGCTAATTAAAAATTCATTAGCACACGTGCCACATGTCGTGCTCTTTGTCCTTCCAGGCCAGTGTTACTGTGACTGTTCCCATGGTTACAGGAGACTTCCCAGTCTTCCAGCACCAAACTCTTTCTCTTCCCCTTCAAGACACAATGTGCTGTTCCTTGAGCTAAGGAACCACCACTCCCAGGGTCAGAGGTGGAAATCAGTAATTCTAAGTCTCTTCACTAAGAGGAAGCAACACACTGAGTACAGAATGATTTCAAAGTTACTTCTATTTGACATTATCAGGCTATTTGATTATTTCACAATTGAAAAATATTATCAAGGTATCTTTTGCATCCACCTTGGTGCACTGTTGGACCCGATGAACTCAGAGGCCTTTCTAACCTGAATAGTTCTGTGATTCTCTGATTCTTCTACATTGCTGTTAAGCTGTTTCACAGATCCCAAATCCAGGCCTGGAACAACACTGGGTTTTGACCTGAAGTCAAC